GGAATCCCAGTGCTAATCTGCCAATCATCCTCTATCCGGATTGCACCCTTTGTGGGGTTTATGTAGGGTATTGGATTTTGGCGTTTGGGGACTAGGGTTTCAGGATTAAGAAGTACTTTGGGTTTGGGGGGTAGGGGGGTTTAGGGCAGCGAACAGTGCAGCGTGTAATGTTGAGGGCTGCCTGAACCCCAGACGCAGTCCAAACCCCAAACCCTGAAAACCCAAGCAGCCCTGAGGCGCCAGGGCCGTCGCCCTCCACAGCTACTCATCTCTGATGCGGGAGTCGGTTAGCTCGGCAAACGTCGTTTCGAAAATGATTTCTTGCTGAGGTCGACGTGCTCTGAGTTCTAGGGTTTGTAGAACCTGAATGTTCGTTTCGGGTGTAGGGTTTAGGCGTTTGGCCTTTAGGATTTGGGTTTCAGATTTGGGGTTTAGGATGTTGATGAATTAAAGGTTCAGGGTTAAGGCTTAGGGTGTAGAGATATTCATTTATGTTTTAATGGTTTCGTCAAGACTTACACGTGATGGACGACTCTTCTCTTTCTTATATACATATACATATGCATATATATATATATACGTATATATATATATACAATTATATATATATATATGTACATATATATATATATATATTTATTTATTTATATTTAGAAGGGGTTGCGTTCGGGGTCAGCATCTGCACTGGAACTCTCCTAGCAACATCATCCACAAAGCTCTCCATTTCTTCATCCAGCCCGTTATCGAAGGCTCAGGGTCGTGGTCTCGAAACTCCAAGCGGTATCAGTGATGCTCATGCCTCTACCCGGAGCCTGGAGGATTTAGGGTTTAGCAGGTTGCTTAGGGATTGCTTGATTTTTAGAGGTGTTGGAGTTTTGCAGGGGTTTGGGGCTTTAAGGTGTTTTGAGGTGTCGGGGTTTGGGTTTCAGATTTTGGCTTGAAGATGGTGGTTCAGGGGTAAGATTTTTTTCATTTAGAGATATTCTTTTTATTCTAAAATTCATTTGGTTAGGAAATATCAAATTGAAGAATAATTTGGAGAAACATAAAGATAGATATCCGATATATATTGCTGCAAGATATAGCAGGCACGAAGAAAAGGAAGATTAGAAAGAATATGGAATACACCTCTATAAAATTAGAAGGATAAGAAATTATCGATTTATAACAAGGATCTAGAAAGAAATATAGATAAAAAACTATTAAGAATCGGATCCGATTTTTGAAATTAAATAGAATTTTCTAATATTCGATTATTGATAATAGAATCTTATTAAGAATTAATAATACGATTTCTTCTCATTAAGAGAAGATTAATAAGAATTATAAAATATAATTAAGGCTCAAAATAGATTAGAAAGAATTATTAAATTCTGATAGTATGATTTATAATAATAAATAATAGATTATAAATTAGTAACAAACGAAAATTGGCATAATAATAAACTAGAAAGAATCGATAAATATCGAAAAAATATTATAATTAATGAGGATCTAGAAAGAATAAAGAGAAATAGAAAATATGATTTATAAAAATAAGAGAGGATGAATAAGAACCTTTAAGATCTGTGAATATGATTCTTATAAATAAATATAGATTAGAAGGAAATAATTAGATAAGATAATATAATTTCTTATAATTAAGGAAAAAAATTTACAATAAATTCTAATGATATGATTTGACAGTTAGAAAGAGCTTTCAAAATTAATTAATATTATAAAATATAAATAAGATAGGATTAGAAAGAGTTAATAAACATAATTTTAGGATCTGGTAATAAATATTGCTGCGACCGAAAAATAAATCGTATTTCTGGATCTTGGTGACTCTTTCTGACTCATTCTTGGTCATAACAAATCATATTCATGGGTCTTGCTGGCTCTTTCTGGCCTCCTCTTGGGTCGCAACAAATCGTATTTGGTTGCTGGTTCTGGCCCTTTCTATGCCGTATTTATTCATACCTCCGGGTCTTGGTTCTTTCTGGCCCAGTCTGACCATAAGATATCATATTCCCGATTCTGGACGATACTACCGGGTCTTGGTGAGTCTTTCTATCTCATTCTGAATCATAATTCGTCCTCCCGGGTCTTAATAATTCTTTCTAGCCCATTCTTGGCTATAATAAATCGTATCCCCGGGTCTGGGTGGGATTTTCTGGCCCACTCTTGGCCGTAACGAATCTTACTACCGGGTCTTGATTGCTCTTTCCGGCTCACTTCTGGCAGTAACAAATCTTATTGCCGGGCCGTGGTGGCTCTTTATGGCCCAGTCTTGGTCGTAATTCATTATAGAAACGGGTCTTGGTGGCTCTTTGCGGCCCACTCTTCCCCGTAAAAAACCGTATTGCCGGGTTTTGGCGACTCTTTCTGGCCCCTCTTGGTCGCAATAAATGATTATCCCGGGTCTTAGTGGCTCTTTCTGATCTATTCTTGGTCATAATAAATCATATTGCCGGATCTTAGTGGTTCTTTCTGGTCTAATATTGGCCAAGATAAATCGTATTGTCCGGTCTTGGTGGTTCTTTCTGGCTCTCTTCTGGTAATAACAAATCTTTCTATCGGGTCTTGGTGGCTCTTTGAGGCCGAATCTTGGCTATTACAGATCGGTTCCCCGGGTCTCGGTGACTCTTTCTGGCTCCATCTCGGCCGTAACAATAGAGGAATCTCGTGCGGGAGATGATAATTCCCAAAGTAGTGCTTGCGCTTGGGGTGCTTATATTGGGAGCAAAGGAATTTGGTTGCGGGCCGTAACGGCACACGCGGCGGTGGGGGCGCGACCTTCATTTCGACGCTCCTGCTGTGGTTTCGTGCGAATTCACGTATATTTCGACACTCCAGTTGTGATTTCGTGCGAATTCCCTCCGGCTCGACGCTCCCATTATAGTTTCGCACGAATTCCGGACCTCCTCTGGCCTCTTCTGGCCTCTTCTAGGGGTCCGCTTAGGTTGCGGGCCGCAACGGTGCACGTGGTAGGGCGGAGCCTTCGTTTCAACATTTTCGTTGTGGTTTAAATTCGCGCGAAATACCAGGCGTTTCGACGCACGCTGTGCTTTTCCTACTATGGTATCGTACGAATTCCGGCCTCCTCTGGCCTACTCTGGCCTCTTCTGGGGCCCCGCTTAGGTTGCGGGCAGCAACCGCGCACGCGGTGGGGCGTGACCTTTCGACGCTCGCAATGGTTTCGTACGAATTCGCTTGCGTTCCGACGCTCCGCTGTGGTTTCGCACGACTTCCCTTATATTTCGATACTCGTACCGTGGTTTCACACGAATTCCCTTGTATTTCGATATTCCCGCTGTGGTTTCGCGCTAATTCCGGCCTCTTCTGGGGGCCCGCTTAGATTGCGGGCCGCAACGGCGCACGCGGTGGGGCGGGGCCCGCTTAGGTTGCGAGCCGCAACGGCGTATGCGGTGGGGCGGGCCTTCATTTCGACGCTCCCGCCTAAGAAAGTGCTTAGGTATCAGATTTGGGGGAGATTGCTTTGAGATTTAGGTCAGGAGGAATGGGCCGACCGGGAGGTCGTGTCCGGATCTAGCAATAAAATTTAGTATAGTCGGGTCGATCGGGCTATCGCGCCTCTTTTTATATAAATTATTTATCAGATATCGGATATGAGGATATAATTCAGGAGAGCATAATATTATAAGATTAGATAGATTTATTACTATTTCTAAAATTAATCTGGCAAGACGCCCATCGTATCGGGACGCCGGCCATGGGTCGCACGATAAGCAAAGCAGATTCGTAAGAGCAATCGAATTTCAAATCAATCACGTCTGTTAGGATATCGACCGGGTGATCATAGGATTGGACAGGAGTATTAATCAGTGCAAAGTAAGATTATTGGGTAGCCAATATTATAGGATAAGACGGAATTCATGATATTATAATTTCTGGATGCGAGAATTAATATGTCGAAATCGTAAGATTTTGAAATAGAATAGTCTCTGATAAATTAAGAATTCTCTAAAATTTGAAATCTATGATATTTTAGCATAGACCTAGATTCATATTATATGATTTATTTATATAATTCATGACTTCAAATTATGGCGGCATACATCCCAAATAATGAGGAGGGCCAGAAGAGGCCAAAGGAGGTCAGAAGGGAATTCGTGTGAATTAGGGCTCGTAGGGTTTAGGATTTAGGGCTGAAAGCTCGGAAGGATTAATTAATGGCCTCTCGGGGAGAATCCAAACCACAACGGGAGCGTCGAAACACAGGGGAATTCGTATGAATCTATAACGAAAACGCGCTTACGACCCGCAATCTAAGCGGGCCCCAGAAGAGACCAGAGAAAGCCAGAGGAGGCCGGAATTCGCACGAAATCATAGCGGGAGCATCGAAATACGAGGGAATTCGTGCGAAACCACAATAAAAGCATCGAATCACAAGGGTAGTCGCACGAAACCACAGCAGGAGCGTCGAAATGCAAGGGACTTCGCGCGGGCACGTCGAAAAGAAGGTCGCGCCCCCCCGTGTGTGCCGTTACGACCCACAACTTGAGCAGGCCCCCAGAAGAGACCAGAAGAGGCGACGGCGATGATTGCACTTGATTAGCGAATTAGCGGCGAGCTGCACGACAGCTGCTAGCAGCGAAGGCGATACCGTCGGCACTTCTTTTTCGAACTGACGATGGCAGAGAGTACATCTTTCGGAATCCTCGAAGACAGAAGACTACGGATAAAGGAGTTTTTACCTGTCGCAAAGAACTCGAACGATCCGTGGAGAAGAAGCTTAGTTCACTATCGGCTCCGACTCGCAACCAGATTTGTACCACAACTCTGGCAGCTCGATGAGTCGGTTTCTGGGTAGTGCAATCCCATCAGCCCTCCTTGAGAATTCAATTTTACTTGTCGTGGCAGGCAGAATTCGTCAAAAGACATGGTTTAAAGATGAGCGGAACAGGCTTTGTGTCAGGTTCTTATTACTTGGCAGAACAGCAATGGTGTACGTCTTCACATGTCTACCATGAACGCTGTGATCAGTTGCAGCCTGCCTAGTTCCATTCTTCGATAAACCTGCAAATCGCCTGCTCAACACCGACAGTGCCAATGTCATCAGACAACTTTGACAGTGTTTGCGACAGTTCTTGATCAATCTCGTCGTCGATTTCGTTGCTTGGAGAGCCTCTTGTGGCCACAGGTTGCGATAAGCCACGCACGACTTCGACAAGTTCTGGGTAAGCTTCAGCGTGGAAGAACCCTTTCACCTCAATTCACCAAATTGGATTGCTGGATTCGTAGTGAAGTTCCGACAATATGCTGGTGGGGTAGAGGCAAGGGCTTTGGGTTGAATGGACTATGGAACCAAGGACTTTGGACGGAAGTCGGAGCATCAACATGGCGGATCCTATATCGACATAAGTACGAGCACACAGGCTCTCTGCGAAATGTCGACGGTCTTGCAAAGCTAGAGGCTGCGGACCAAACATCAAACTGGTGGGCACCGAAACCAATCTAGAGTGCAAAACAAGAAGATTTCGAGCTCTGTCTACGACTTCTAGTCAAGGCACTTCCAAAAGTTTCAAGAAGCATTCTCTTGAGGCTGCAAAGCGCGATAGCTGTTCCAGGACGAGCGTAGTGACTTCATCCCATACCGGGCCTGCAGAGTGACCTTGGTCTGGGGGCCAGGACACGTAGCCACAAGCTGCTGCTGGAACATGACTGGTGTCCAAAAAGGAAACCCTAAAACAACCAAATGCTGACACCCACTCCATTAAGGGCACTGCGGCCTCCAATGCAGATCGGCCCAAATGCGATCCGAGGTGCTCGGTTGTGTAGAGGTGCTCGGTTGTGGAGAGGGTTCTGCATACCTGATCTATAGTATGGGGGGCTTCTGGATTTTCGATGGTTTACGCACTTAGGCTGCACGTGCAAGTGTTCGGGCTTAGAGGGTTTGGACCCTGAGTCAGGGTGCTTGATTTGCCAGTGAAATCGACAAATAGCTTACTTCTGGCACCTTTCAGGGCCCGAGACAACGTCTGAAGTGATACGAAGATGCCCAGCGCCCACCGGAGGTGCAGGCTCGTCTTCTTCGAAAGGAAAAGTTGCACAACGCCTGAGCAGCTCCTCCCAAGACTGTAGCATGCCATAGGGTCTCCGACATGCAAAGTGCGAGCTCCTTCCAGAGAAGCTCGTGCAGGCTACGAGGTTCACGGCATTCTCGAGCCCTCTCACCTGGCAAGGACGCAGAAACTTCGGACAGCCCGAGCCCGTACATGCCATGTGCCCCCCGGTCGGCGTGCAGAGCATCTTAGCCCAAGCCCTTCTGATTCGGTGCTTGCACTCATGCCTTGCAGTATCTCGCACAGCGGCTCGTGCAGAAACTTCGCAGTGAACACTAAAGACAAGCTCCTCGGCAGCACGCGAGCATTGAGCGAAACCGGAGACTTACACCTCAAGGTGGACAGTCCACACTGTTGAGCCCTGAAACTGAAGCGAATTCAACAGATTGAGTTCTCCTCTCTTCTCGCTAGGCGGGGTCGGGAGGTTGGCGCTTATCAATCCTCTGCAGGTGCATCGCCGAGTAAGGGCAGCGGCTCAAGTGTGCAAGGCCTAGCAGTTTACTTCGCCAAGCTGTACAGTCCTGAAGGACTGCAATGCACCGAACCAAATCCGGAACACCCTGAACTCAATCTCGCGGTGAAGGCTGCACCGGGCAAGTCTCGTCGAAACCAAATGCTCGAAGCTCTGTGTTGTCACCCACTGCACTCCATCCACTTCCCTCTTGGAGAGCTCTTGTAGCACCTGTAGTAGGCCTGCAAATTGAGAAATCTGGGTTCACGCCGGTTTCTCTTCACAGCTTATGATCGAGTGCTTCACTTGAGACATATCGTTGACACGACCCCACGCACGCAAACCTTCTAAGCTTGCATCCCCTCGCAATGTCGTCCAAGTAGGCTCTGCAACGATTCGTAGATTGGATGTGGACCTGAGCTTGGGAGTTTACATGCTGAAAGCCTATGCCGATGCAGGGTTTAGTGCCGCGGAAGAGGCTGGAGCCACTCGTCGTCGTCCAGAGGACGCCCAAGGCGCAAGAGCTGGACGCGCCAGTCGCTCGATTGTGTGCCATCGTTGAACCCTACTTGATCTATCCAATTCCTTAGTGTTGTCGGGCGTCAGCATGCAAGATGGAGCTGGTGTAGTATTGACGAAAATGCATCAGACACAACGTGACAAACATCATCATCTACGCACTGTAAAGGCGGTAGAATCTTGCAGACATGTGGTGGTAAATTGCGCCAATCAATACTTTTCAATGTCATATCTGAGGAATCTGTACACACCAAATTTTAGAGGAGAATCGTTGGTGAGGGCAAAAAGGGGCTGTCATGTACGCAGCAAAGACTGCCCCTAACGATGGTAAACGAGATGGATAATGCCCCCCCAGGCAATCTAGACTAATCATGGCTGTTTGTTCCACAAAGTCGCCTGACGAGCTCTTTGAATCCTGCCACGTGAAGCCAGCAAGCTTCGTGGCTTGGAGCAGTCTTGGCCAGAAAAGCACCAGCCAACATGACCTTACTCACTCTGCGGGCTGTGACCATCTCATCTCAATCAAGCGACAGCTGGTTGGCTATCCTCCTGTGCCCATCTGTCCGCCTGGACGAGGCTAGACTGCTTGGAGATGAGGGACCAGGTTGCTCGTCCCAAGGGGCACCATCGCGAACGGCCTGAACTGCGGTGGACGTGCAAAGGTCCAGCCGGATGACTTGGCCTCACAGGCAATACACCAGATCCCACATATCTTAACATCCAGTATATGTATTACGTAATTATATATGCATATGTATGTGTAAAGGTATACCTAAATATGTAGCAGCTGTATATATGAGAGAGAGGGAGACACAAACGAACACACAAACAAACAAACACACAAGCAAGTAAGCAAGCAAGAAAGCAAACAAGCAAACATTCAACCACAAACCAACCAAACTCACGAAGCAGCAAACAAGCAAACACAACATAAATCACATAAGCAAACAAGCAAACAAGCAAGCAAGCAAGCAAACAAGCAAGATCACAAACACAACCACAAACAAACACACACACACACACACGCCACGCACATGTATGTATGTATGTATGTATGTATGTATGTATGTATGTATGTATGTATGTATGTATACACATACTTGATTCATGTGAATACATATATAGAAATATGTATGCAATTACACATGTGTATTTGAACAAATATATATATATATATATACACATACATACATACATACATACATACATACATACATACATACATACATACATACATACATACATTGTATATGTATACATACATTTGTGTATATACGGAATATACTAAAATCGACTTGCTGTGTAGTTGCTTAGACAGGTTTGTCTACTTTTTTATTCGTCATGGCGAAGGTGGAGCGATGTGAAAAATGAACTCCTGAACACTGAAGGGTAAGCTTTTATGTGTTCCCTCCTTGCGGTCCAGGATGTATTCCTGCAGGTTTCGCTCGAACAGCCGCATGTCAGAATCTGACAAACGGGAGCCAATCATGAGCCAAATACTTCCACGTGCGAGAAGAATCCGCGAAGCAGGCTGAACTTTCGTGGACGCGAGCAGTGAGAGTAGGTCTTGAACTCTCTGCGTAAAAGCCGACTTCTCCTCGGCGCTCAGCGCATCCGGCTCTTGGCCGGGAATGCGCACATACTCCCAATCAAGTCCAGGACCGTCTCCCAAAAGATCTCTTGCCAAGATTTCCCGCCGGAAAGGGGTCTTGTCGAGGAGACCAAGCAGCTTCGAGATGCAACTGGGGATTTCAGTCGTGTCCGCCTGCATGCCCCGTTCGTCTTGGAGAGCAGCAATGATGCATTCCAGCGATTGGCAAGGGACTGTGTGCAGCGCCGCTTGTGGCTTCGAAGGCAAGCGGTAGGCGGCTTTCGCCCAGTCTTCGAGCATTCGAGCAACATCAACCAACCGGCTTTGCCGCAAGCTTTGCAGCTGGACCTGCATGCTGGCCATCCAAGAAAGATCTCCCAGGCTGTGCCTCACTCAGGAATTTGTGTTTACTTCTCCGAAACACATCGTGCACCAGCGCTTGCTACCTGAATGCTGTTTTATTGAGGTAAGCTCGTTGCAAACCCGGGTATCACACCGAGATGAATCCAAACGACTTCGCCGCGCAACAGGACGAACCGCATCCAATCTTCAGTGCAGCTAGCATTGCAATACAATCTGCTAGTTTGCAACGAGCAGCGAAGCAGCTTCGACCACCTGGACGATGGCCTTGCGAGTCTCGCAATACCCCTCGTTCAGCTCGTTTCGCATCAAGCCAAACATGTGCTCTCGAAGCAAGGGAGCATGCACAAAGCTGTCCAGCACAGAATCTACCATGATCGGCTGGAAAGTCGGCATGGCAGAACCTCTGTGCATACTAACTGATCTTATGTTCAAGATGTCGCCGTTGAACAACTCCGGCTCCAGGTGGCCCAGTGAAATATACCGAATTTCATCCTTAAGCATGAGGAAGTAGGACTGCAAGCTGTCGGTGTGAGAGCACAGAAGATGGGCAGCGGCACCAACCATTGAATAGTCGCGGCGCGTCGTGTGCTGAGGATGCACGGGATCGAGAAAGATCCTGACAGGCTCTTTCCGAGGGGATGCCGTGACTATGGGACCAGCGTTGGTGGGTCAAGATGGTTGGGCCGGCTTCGCTGGAAAGAGTTGTGGTGTACAGTTAGGAATTCACGAGTAGGTGTCATTGTACGCACTCAGAGAAGCTTCGGGTTCATGCACGTCTACTCAACACGGAACTCATGCAGCACGAGGAGCGTAAGAAAAGCGTCCGTTTCACAGCATTCGATGCGCGGCTGTTCTGGCGGTCTGAGCAACCCTCCCTTGGAGAGGATGCTGGTCTTCCAGCTGCGGCATGTGCCGTAAATGCAGCATACAGTCAGATAAGATCTCGTTCGCTTGAATGAAGCCTGGTGCGGGAGGCTTGCGCTTCGCTGAAGGCTAGTGAAGTTTATCATGCTCGACAAGATGCCGTTACCATACCTGCAGGATCCATGAGAGCATTGATCTGGCTTCAGTCAAGATGCAACCTGGCTCGCCAGCTCGTGCTCGAGTGAAAGAGACTCGGACCAATCTTCTGCATCTTCAGGAACGACAAGGGTAACACCTGGTGCCCGAAATCCATGCCCAGCGTAGTATACGAGAAGAAGGGATTCACTCGGCAGTGTCTCCAAGGCTACTGTGATTTGAGACCGTATGTCGGAAACCGTGGCATCGCTGCATAGCACCTTGGAGCCCCACAGATGATTGCTCCCGTGCACAGGCGCACAAATGCAGATCTGAATCACTCAACAGTGCTTGGCTGCGAAAATTCCCAAGCACGTGCGCCTGGTCGAAAACTCCCGACTCGAGTGCCGCCTTCTGCAGCACTTCTGCGTCTCGCTGCACACTGCTGAGGGTGTCGTCGGGGCGGGAGATAACGAGGCATCTCCTCTGAGGCGCTGTCGTCTTCATTTCATGCAGACGGCTGCCGACTATCTCCCATGGCTCCTACATGCTCAGCCTGTACTGCGCATGCTTTAGCCGGAGTGTGTTTGAGATGCATGAAGTGGCCGCATTACAACTACAGCCCGTCAGCAACTAAGGAAGGTCGCTGCCACGTTCATGACATGTTTGTTGGCAAATCAGGCGGTAGGCTCCATGCTAAATTGTCCGCTCGGAGGAGTCCGGGGCATACATGATGTTATCATACTCTGCATATGAACTGGCGCAGCTCAGCCCCACGTGGGAGAGAGCAATGCGCTCAGCCCCACGTGGGAGCCGGAGCCAGAGACGTCGCATGAAATTCGAAGACATACATGATGGCTGCACGACGTGCGTACCTACCTCATGAGCCAATCCACCTGTGCAGCATCTGTCAAGGCTCCTGCCAGCACTCGCTCTTTCGTTCATGCGGGCGAAAGACGCAGCACTGGGCCCCAAGATTGAAACTGGGATGCTTCGTGCGACGCGCAGTTGCGCGGCTAGAAGCATCTGAAATAAATGCAAGGATTGTGACCTCTACAGGACACAAGTGAAGTAGTGTGCAACAGACAAGCGGAGCATGTGATGGCAGCAGGAGCAGCAGCGCCCTACTGCCATTAGCCATTTCACTGAGCCCTTCAAGCAAGGCCTGTGCGGCCAGGCTAGCGAACGACAACTCATACAGCCACGAGATCTGAGTGTCTCGTCATTGCTAACCATGTAGCAGGTACACAGAACTCAAACTAATGCCGTTGACTGACAGCAGCTTGCACAATCTCGTCCATAGCTCTTCAAGCCCCTCATCTCTGAGCTGGCAGCGTCCAGATCTGCCCACCTTGGCTGCAACACAGCAGATTGTGTTTTGTTGGCTCGCAAGCTCCGACATGCCGGCTTTCTACCGAGAATCTAGTAGACCAATGTCTGTCCAAGGCGAGTCTAAGAATTCGGTATGAGTGTTTCGGTGTAAAGCCTCCCCTGCATGCTGAACAAACTTGGCGCTTGCCCAAAAACACTAGCTTTCAGGCAGCTGCACTAAGAGGGGTGCATTCGCAAGCGTATGTAGAACGCGTAAGACAACAAAAGCCGGGCTGCTGTCCCTGGCTTCGGAATGGCGCAAAACAGCTCGAGAGGACGGCAGTTTTGCGAGTGGTGGCCTCTGACAGTAGACCAAGGGGGGTTCAAAACCAGCGGCGGGTTCATCCGTGCGGCCATGCGGAAAAACTCATCTATCTCCATGCGGAAAAACTCATCTATCTCCACAGGGTCCATATCATTTGAAAAAAATTCCAGGTAATCCAGCAACCAGTGGAGTACTTCGATGTTCTCGTCGGAATCCGCTGCACCCGGCGTTCGAAGCCATGTACAGAGGGATGTGTGAAACCACTCTAGGTTGTGTGAAGATATTCGCGACCACACACGAATCGTCTCATTGTCCACCTCTTGGTTGTCCGGCTGCGGCGCCAAAGCTGCTTGGCATGCGCTTGCCAAGTCATCACATCTCAGGACAGCAATCTGTGCACGGAGGTCGGCAATCCGGTAGGAATCTCTTCGCAACCTCGCTTGTGTAAGGACATGCAAGGACTAAAGGTCTACACCTACCCGCATATTCACTTCCGTCAAGACCTACGGCCCGTAACAGATGCTTGCGGTCCGAAGACAGACGGTTCAGAGTGCGCAGCTCTCGCGCGATAGCATCAACATTACCCGGATGTTGCTCAACCAGTTCCTTGATATGAAACGAGGAGAGGGGTGCTTCGTCAATGATCTGGACTTGCTGTTCGGATAAGATTGAAAGGTGTTCGCGAGGTTCACCAGGTTCAACATGAAGCGAAATAGCCTCACCCTCCGGCAAAGACGATTCTGGTTGGACATGCCCAACTGTGCACGCACGAATATCGTCCTTGACCCTGGCAAAGAGCTCTTGGGCAGTTGAGGGTGGTCTGCGCACATGTCGTGCGAGCACTTTTTCAATTAGTAGGCTGTTGTTGATCGTCGCTCCGTCGGGGCAGACTTTGAACCTCAGAAAACCAGGGTGGGAATCACCGAATCGTCAACGGTCGCTTCCGTCACACACACACACGTGCACAGACTTAAACACCCGAACTGTGGCTTGCAAACTAGATGTTCGCTCTCGGCAAGTCACATACCAGAAGTGCCTTGCTTCGCGAATTTTGACATCACTTTGGGCATGTCAATCCATCGCAGAGGTTTGGCTGTCGTGCTTCGACAGCAAATTGGTATAAACACTAGTTTCAAGCCTCTGCAGGTCGTCTCTGTCGCCTTGGATGGACGTGCGAAAGCTCCAGTCTCCTGTCTGACTGCAAAAAAACAACACTTGGCGCTGCAGCAAAGGAGCTGCTGTGAACACCTCGGGCTCGAGCTGAAAGTTGCATCCAGGGATACCTGTGTACCCCTGCCGTGTGAGTTCGCCGTGGCCGATGTAGATCACAAACAGCAGGGAATTACTTTCCAAAGCCGCCGCGGCGTCTTTAATTTTTTGGAGGAAAATTTTCTGGCGGAACAGAATTTTCCGACGACGAGTTGCCTCGTCACGTTCCTGCCCGTCAATCGGGTTGGAACACCACGGTATCACCTTGTCGAACAAGATCCTGGAGCTTGTACAAGCTCGCACCAATATGTCATACCCTTGTCTAGCCTGCTCCTGGACGTCTTCTTCTAAAGCTGCCAAAAGTAGGCACACACGCGGGGGCCGGCTCATGGCGCTTGACCCCGAACTCGCTTGCCTGGTGCTTGTTCTGCAAGGATGCTGTGTGCCGCCTGGCCAGCTGTTCTGCACAAGCCCGCCAGTGAGCTCATGTCTTCTTTCTGCAGTTTGTAGTAGTAATGCTACGCTACGACTTTGAGCACTGCCGTTCTTGCTGACTGATAGCCATTCAGCCTGCAACAACCTCTCGAACCACCGGCGGCTGAGCGAGACGGGGAGCAAGAACAGGGCAGCCTCCCAAGCAGGCCTGCAGTGCAAACAATACTCGGCGCATGCACAGCGATGAGCCACAGCCCAGGCTGATGAACCGAAGCACGGGACTTGCTAAATTCTGCACGAATTAATTACGAGGTCCTTGGCCTTACGGTCAGGTTGTCTATTCAACGATTCAACGGCCATGCATCGTTTCACGGCTCAGCTTTCATAAGCTGATACAGCAAATGCTTCTAGCCGAGGACAGTCTCTGGTCATGAAGAGCTCAGCTGGTACCTTCGAACGACTTGGCCAGATTGCCGTCTCGTTCTGCGCCATGCCTATTCCTCAAGTTCAAGCAGGTGCGGTCAGGTTGAGAGTATGCTAGCAGGAGGCCGTTGGCCTCGAGCGAGGGGATGAAATTGAGGGAAGATCGAGGATGGTTGATACTGCAGCTGTCGGGCTTGGAAGAACCGCCTCTGGCCGCCACCTGCTGCCCACATGAAGCGCCTGTGGCCACCAAGAGCTGGATGAAGCCTCCATGTACGGGAGGAATCGCAGCAACATCCAGAGCCATGGATCGAAGTGTCACGGTGCAGCGCAGTCTAGAATCCTGACCAGTGGATGAACTGGCTTCTTCCTCCATTGCCACGTGGGATCTGGCGAAACAGAGTTCCAACGATTCGAGGTCTTGGCTCTCGACGGCAGCACCCCACTTCGATAGAAACCTTGCCCTCCCAGGCACCCAGGCAAATGCTGAATACGATCCCCAATGCGCCCCGCAGCTTGCACGGACAACATCTATGTATTTCGCTCTCTCGCTCTCTCCCCTCTCGGCAATGCGCAATTTCCAACGAAGCCTTAATTATGAGGCGAGCCAGCTTTGCAGTGCCCGGTGCCAGGGCCATGGGCACAGCTTCTTGAACGGCCTTCGTCCGTCTGAGACCAGGCTTTGCACTGCAGGTGGTCTTGTCTCCGGCAGAAGTGTGAAGACTTTCTGCGTGTACGGCAAGCAGATGCAGAAAAAAGGGCTCCGTAGTGATGTAGCAGCAACCCAACTGTTTCACGACACCCAGGCTCTGACATGTCTAACTCTTGCCCCATGCCTGCGCAAGGTACGTCGTCAGTCAATCCTACAAGCCCAGCTGTAGAAATCGGGTGAACTCTTAGCCCTGCACCCCAACGCCCCAACACTCTGAACTGTTCACCCGAGAACAACCTACCATCCTGCTCGGTGTCTGAAGCCTTCGCGACAAGCTCTTTCAGCTCAAAATTTTCTCTTGGAAGCAACACCCCAAGCAAGCATTTGCGACCTGCCAACACACACACACACACACAAGCGCGTCTCTTTTCGGCTCGAAGAATGCCTGCCAACACACACACACACAAGCGCGTCTCTTTTCGGCTCGAAGAATGGGTCCTTGAACTCCTGGCGCATTTGCTTGTGAGAAGATGGCTGTCAATGCAGCCAAACACGTGCAAGTCCACAGCTGGCACGCAGGAACTGTTTCCTCGACAAGGTGGACTTTTCGTGCACATGCAGGATTGAATTTCAGGTTCCGTCTTGTACGGAGCATATCGCGGCACAAGACATCTGCTTTCGCCAGCTAGCTCCTTCGTGGGACGTAACCTTCTTGACCCAACATAAGCACATGTCCCTCTTATCTGCACCTGACCTAAACTCAGCATCGGCAGGTGTTCAGGATCGCAAACAAGGTCATAGAACACTCCGGCATGACACCAGGCAGCCCGAAACGCCAACGAAGAACGATCAACCAAGCCGTAGACACGAAACACAGTGCCGAAGTCATTCTGTCGTTTGGGGGATTCAGACGCAGGGCTGAGGGTTACCTACTGTATTGCATTTCCAGAAGGTCTTGTGCACGAAAACATGGAGAAGACAGCATGCTGCCGAAGGTCGGTACAACTAGGCCTCTTTCGGAGCACTGCAAGCATTACAGTACAGCATTTCTGAGAGCCCTGGATTAAAAGGGGAAGTCTCGACGTTGACTCTCGCGTCGTTCTGGGCACCCGCCTGCTGATGGAAACACGCTTCGTACTGATTGTTTGAGGATTGGAGTTTGAACGAGTCTGAGCTTTTTGTTCGTGAAGCCCGCGGCTGTGTCCTTCTTCGGCAGCCATGGCCCGTGGGCCCAGTGCAAGATTGAAGAATCCTACTATTGATTCATCCCGGGATCTTGGCAAAGCTTCTTTCACTAGTCGCTGTGCTCTTGTTAGTTCAATCACTCTCCTCTCCTCTCTTGCCCTCTCCGGAAGAAGAGCCGGGAACTTTTTCCGGGATCAGTTTGTGTAGCGCCATCTATGGCGTGGGAAACCCTAGCGCCTGTGGCATTTGCTCAGTCGTCTGGCGATCTCCTGCAGTGGCCAGGAGAAGTCAACAGGGGGAGTAGAACCAGAGGAATCTCCTTGTTCCCAAAAGCATGACGACCCCAAATATTTTGTTGATTCTGGGGCGGTGAGGGTTCGTGCCCCCAACCTAACTAAGCCTTACACCTTGCACCCCATAATCTACAGTGTAGCCTTTAGAAGTCATGGATTGCTGGGTTGAGCATGGCAACAGCCGCCATCAACGCTTCTTCAGGGCCTTCTGCAGGCGGTTCCGTGGAAGTCAGTGCGCCCCCTACCCGCCGCCTGCAGGCCACCCGGTCTCACTTCTGCAGGTGGCCATGCAATACCGAATCTTAGCTTGAAGCTAAGTATCCCGAAATGCAAAGCCCTATGTAGATCCACAGCCTATCCCGAAATGTTAAGCCCAATGTAGATTCACAGCCTATCCCGAAATGCAAAGCCCTATGTAGATCCACAGCCTAATTAAACCGCATGCTCCGAACCTTTTCCCCAGAACCCCCGCACCTTTTCCCGTTACTGTAACCCCCTGAACCGTCGACCCGAAGACCTTTTGCCGAATGAAAGCCCCAGACTGCGTGATCCGAGCCCTTCTGCATGGAAGGCTCCTCCAAGCCCTCCTTCAACGTGCGCAGTTGGTGCAGCATCTTCCAAACCTGGGGAGCTTGCTTTTAGGGCTTAGGGTTCTTTCTTTTTCCTTAGGGTTTAGGGTTTAGGGATTGAGCGGTGAAGGTCACCAGGTTGAAGGAATCCATGCTCAGGCGGTTTAGGGTCGTAACCCTCAGAGAGGCCCATAACCCCACACACGGAGCCCCTCATAGAATCCTTGCACCCCAACCATACGTGGCTTATGATACTTTCGCCTCCCCACCTAATACTTGCTTATGCCAATACATTTATGCTACCTTATCACTGGCCTCACTATGTGTCGTCAATACATGGCAAAGTCCTGTTGTTAAGGTTGAAACATGTTGAAACTGTTAGAGTCAGAGTTATGGTCTGTGCACAGCTGACGTAGTTCGAAACCTCGGGTAGAAAAGACACTGCAAAACCCCCCGTCCAGAGCCCTGAAATCTGCGCCGACGCTGTTTTCCCGGAAGCACCCTCAACCCTTATTAATTAATGGAACCCCAAACCCCCAATCCTAAACCCTTTTGCAACTGGCGTGCAACGTCACGCCAGGACAGCAATCCTAAACCCTAAATCCCAAACCCCCAATCAAGATCCCGAGCCCTCCCTTGCAGGCGAAGTGGCGGTTTGATCCAGAGAGGACCGGTCGGCCGGATCGAATTCAATCCTGGAGGCGAAGGGGTCAAGGTTTAGGGGTTTAGGGTGTGGGCTTTAGCTAGTCGGGTCCGATCCATTCCTTCTTTGAGTTTAGAATATGGCGTCAAGGTCTATATAGAAGGTTTAGGATTTTTTGGTTCAGGGATTGTTCAGGGTTTGGGGTTATAAGTTATAAGGGTTATGGGGTCTTCGCATGAGGTCTCGAGGGCTTTCGGCAAGACATCTCTGGTGAGGGCCATACTAGAAGTAAGTGCGCATGAGCGAATCAACTCATAGCCAGAAGGACTGGAAGGCTAAAACT